CTGGGCTCCGGCAATCCTTCTGCCTCAGCCTTCCAAGTAGCTGGAACTACAGGCACACGCTACCACGCCTGGCTAATTTTTCTGGTTTGTTGTAGAGATGAGGTCTCGCTGCCCAGGTGGGTCTCGAACCCGTGGGCTCAGGCAATCCATTCACCTCAGGCGCCGGATTACAGGCTGAGCCACCGAGCCTGGTTTGATTAGCATTTCATTTAAAGGCATCCCCGGAGTGCCTTAGGGGTGACAGAGACACCTGCGCCCTCTAGCAGTTCATGCAAGTGAAGGCCACCTGTTGGGAGATGGCATCACTTCCAGATGGGATGCTGATTTCAGCGGTTCAGGAGACTGACCCAGCCTTGAGCTTCCAGAGTTAGTGACAGCCCGCCAGTCCCGACGGGCTGTGGAGTGGGTGAGCTAATCAAGGCCGCCTGACTCAGCTCTGGGGGGGTCCCACCTGCTCACCTCCTCCCGTTCTCTCCCAAACCTCCTGCCCCGACCCAGCGAGCCAGCAGGGCAGAGGCTGAGACCCCGTGTGTCTGGCGGAGGGAGGGAGAGGGAGTCCCAGAGCCAGGCGCAGTGCAGTGCCTGAGGCTGACCGGAAGGACCTGCGTGTGGATCTTCAGCGAAAGACCTTCTCCCGCCCTGTAGGCCTTGAAGTTCTGGCAGCATGGCCCCAAACTCCATCTCGGCGGCCGTCAGATCTTTGGAACTGGGAATGGGGGAGAGGGCTTTGCCCGGGAGTCCAGGCATGCCCTGGCTAGGGGCCTGCTTTCCTGGGATTAGGTCACTAGGTAACTGACAGCAGCAAAGGCTTTAGCCAGTTCAGCCTGGCAACTCCAGCAGATCGGGCTGTTCCTGGCAGTCAGGCTTGGAAGGGACAGTGTGTCTGCTGGGAGGCCTGCACCCCCACTTCAGTCAGGGGGCAGAATGCTCCTGTCTGACTTGGTGTCAGCTGGGAGCCCAGAAGTGACCCAAGTCCTTTTCACTCTGCAGAGAGGAGACCTCCTACCCCGGCCCTAGGATGTCCCTGACACCGGACTCCTCACCCCGTAGGCCCGGTGGGGCCTGGATGTCTGACGTCTCAGTCCAAACTACTGCCCAGGGGACATCTCGGGTGTGTGACAGCTTGCCCTCCCAAAAGGGCCCACTTACTGGAGAGGATTGAGGACAGTCAGAATGTCTCCTCACTCTCTTAAAACCAGTGGCCACGGTTTCTTGACTTCTGTCACCATCTTCCTTTCCCGGCTCCTTTTCAGGAAGCCTTTTTGATGAAACTGCTGATAGGACCCTCTGTCTTCCAGGGCCTCTGGAAGGAGCGGGGGTGGCTTTTGGAAGGCCCTCTGTCTTTAGAGCTTGAGCTACTCCATGGTTTTTAGGAAGGAAACTAGCTTTTCTGGGTGCCTTTTGCAGGCCTTCTCATGTGCGGCTTTGCTTTCTTTTGTGCCCCTCTGTTTGGTCTTCGTGACTGTCCTGCGAGGGGGTGTCACTTCCGTCTTTTGGAAGAGATGAGGCTCGGAGGGGCTGAGCGACTTGGCCAAGGGACTTGAACCTCGTCGCTTCAGACCTTCTGGGCTTTTCGTCACCCCATGGAGAACTGCCAAGCACTTTATGGTAGTTTCCTGTTCCTCTGTCCCAGAATTCATAGCGCTTCTCTGCAGAGGCCAGGCGTTATTTATCAAAAGGGAGATCGACCTAGGGAGTCTTCCGCCTTTGGGGGGGTCCGACTTACTCACCTCCTCCCGTTCTCTCCCAAACCTCCTGCCCCGACCCAGGGGAGCTTGTGGCATTGGAGCAGTGAGCCCACCAGCCTCTGGGCTGCCTGCTCTCCCTCGAGGCTGCTCTGGCCTCTGAAGCACAAGGCCAGCCTGGTGGCCCATTTCTGGTTCCAGGGGATCACCCGACAGCCTGCGAGACTTGCCGCTGTCTCCCTCGCTCTCACCCAGAGAGAACTCAGGTGGGACCGGCTTCTTCTAACTCCCCAGCCTTGCTTTGCTGAGAAAACCGGGACTTGAAATCTTCAGAGACCCTTGCTGTCTGGTTTTCTAGGGGGGCGGTGTCCCCGGAGTCTTCCAGCCCCCTGCTCTGCCTTGGCATCCGCAGAGGGCTGGCTGTTGGCGAGGGGAGTGGCGTGTGGCCACAGGCTGGGGATTCCCAGATCCCTGTCAATCCGTTGTCAAGTTAATCTCGGCAGGGGGAGGAGCTTGCGTTCTTAGGAAGGGCTGTAGTGAGTGCAGGGAGAATGAGAAGGTGGGGTTTAACGAGGCCCCAGTCCCCGCTGTTTGTGGGTGACGCTGCCATGCTCTCTTGAGTGTGGGGAGCAGTCGCGCTGCCCTAGTCGACTTGTGCTAAGGACTAGGAAGAGGGTGACGATTCCCCCTGGCCTTGGGGTGTTCCTGTCTGCCCTGAGTCTGCGGGCTGGGGCTCTGGGCGTTTCACTTGCTTCTTTCCTACCCCAAGGGATCTTCAGGGAACACAACAAAGACATCCCCATGGTCCCTGTCCCCGGGATGGTGCAGCTGGGGAGAGCCATGGCGCAGCAGGGCTGGCAGAACTTGATGTCAGGCGAGACCTCTGGGCAGCCTGGGGCGGGGACAGGGAGGGCAAGCAAGGGGGGGCAGGGCAGGCAAGCCCCCCGCCCCCGACCCAGGGACATAGCCACTTCCTTCTTCAAAGATTTTGCCATCAAAACCTTACCACTCAGTGTTCTCAGTTGAAGGTCATTAGCAACCCACTGAGGTGGCTGGAGGGTGAGTGTCCCTTCCCTCGGCCCAGGAAACACAAAGCACCTTGCCACGCTGGCAGGCAGCAGGGCTGGGCCTTGACACTATGTCTCTCCTGCTCCTCCCTTAGTTGATGCCCAGGGGTGGCATTTGACCTGGGCACTCACCCGGCTGCGGAGATGAGCACTGTCTGGGTTTTTAACAAAATTGGACAGGGGGCCTAGCGAAAAGCAGACCGAGGGAGTTCACATGGAGGTGGAAGGGAGCTGGGTGTGGCTCTTCCCCAGTTTCTTTGGGGCTGTGTGTGTGTGTGTGTGTGTGTGTTGTTTTCTTTGAGTCAAGGTCTCACCTTGGTGCCCAGGCTGGAGTGCAGTGACACAATCACAATTCATCTCAACCTCGACCTCCTGAGCTCAGGCGTGCCTTCTGCCTCAGCCTCCCGAGTTTCTGGGACTACAGCTATGCGCCACCACGCCCGGTTGATTTTGGTAGCGATGGAGTCTTGTTTTGTTGCCCAGGTGGGTCTCGATCTCCTGAGTCTGATCAGTCCTCTCATCCTGGCCTGGGAAAGTGCTGGGACTGCAGGCTGAGCTATTGTGCGCTGCCAACCTCCAGCGTCTTTACGTCTGGCGTCCTTCCTCTGTCAACACTTCTGGGGTCTCTAGGAGTCTGTCCTGCAGAGGGTGCCGGTGAGCGGATGTAACAATTGTCCTTGAAGAGGGTTTCTGGCCTGTGCACCGCTTTAGCTGGCTGTGTGTTTCACGAGTTGTTTTTGTTACCCGCTGCCATCTGTGATGTATGCGAGAACGGGATCCTAAGGCAGTAGAATTGGGAGGCTTAAGGGAGTTTCTTTCAGGAAGGAAACTCAGAGAGTGGGTGTGATTTTTGCACAAGCTCATGTTGCTACTCACTGCCTTAATCAAATTAAATACGGGCTGGGCTTGGTGGCTCAGCCCGTCATCCTAGCACTTTGGGAGGCCAAGGCGAGTGGATGGCCTGA